AACTTTTCAAGAATGGATATGTTGCTTTCTTCCAAAAATGGAATGATCACTTGGACAAAGGCTCAAACACTTGGATCATAGTTTAACCATTTATGTAAGCATTCAATTAAGGAGTGATTTACAAGTTTGAGGCCTGTAAAGTGAAGATTATGCAGCATAGCTAATATTTTGGTTCCTTGTTCATCACAAATCTACCTTGTAAATCAAGAATGAATGCCCAACTTCAGGTCCTTGAATCTCCTAGCTCAAGTATGATAAATTCATGCTCTTGAATGTTTTGGAAAGCTTGAAACATCCTCTACAACTTTCATGTTTTTCACTTTTATTAAATCAAACTGGAACTTAATGAAAACTGGTCAAGAAGTTGGGATAAAAACCTGACCAAACCTGTTGAAAATTTCTCCAAGTGTTTAATAAAAAATGCCATGAATTCATGAATTTATAACTTAAAATCCAAGCATTTCTAGAAAAAGTCCTGTCCTACAATGTTTTAGATCTAATTGAGATCTACAAATTTTATGTTGGAGTTTTCCTTGAATCATCTTGCATCATGGTTAAAATTTGGCACAAAGTCATGAAAAAAAGTTAACTTTCTAACACTTAGAAAAATTTCTAAGTCTTAGAACTTTGACTTCTCAAAGATAATTTTGACTTTTTGATTTCTTAATGAACAATCTTCATATTTTGACATGTCTTGATGAAATATGATTTTTGAAACTTGATTTTGATCAAAAAGTCAAAGTTTGACTTTTTAGTCTACAATTGACTTTTTCATCAGTTACCAAATTTCAACTATCAATCAATTGATCTTGAGAAGTGTTTTGAACCATACTGTTAGATAAAGATGATGCATTTGAATCCTTGATATGATATCTCAAACCAATAAGTCATGTATTTGGTCAAAAGTAAAAAATTGAGCCTTCTCAGTCAAAACCCTAATTTTGACCATTTTGCCCTTTTGGTGTTCTGATCAAATTTCTTGAGGAATTATGATCCAAACTTGACCAATTGACACATATGAGTTCAAAATGTTGATATGGATAAAAATTATGAAATTTGACTGTAAATTGACCACAATTGACTTTTTGCCCAATACAATTGATTTTAGGTCAACTGATCAATTGATTGAGCAAAAATGTGATCCAAAGCTTGAAACTTGACATGAGAAATCTTGAGAGTCCAAAATGATCCATGAAAGTCAAGAATGCTTGCAGACAACAATAATAAGAAGATATAATTTAAGGAAAACCTGCGGGGAATACCACTTAGGATATTTGATGGATATAATTCTCTTGGAGAGGTTCCACCAGCTTAACTGGGGAAGTAAAGGGTGCTTGAGAAAGACTTGAATCTAACTTATGCTTCAATGAATGTTTGAGATTTTTTTAACGTAATGCTCCATATCAATTGAAATGCTACGCATTATTAAGGATGCAATGTAATGATGATTACTATATGCAACGTGTTAAGGCAAAGATATCTGCTGGGAAATCAAAGGATAAAGCCTTCTGACTTTTGCTGAAGAATGCCAACAACCTGGCCTTAAATCTCTAATCTCTTTCGAGGATAACGATTATGACTTCTATTGAGGATAACAATCCTAACTTCTCGACATTCTCTTCAAACTCACAAGTTATTTAGCCTGCACTTGGACTTAAATTGATTGACTCTAAAGAGGAGGAAATGCCCCTATATACTGCCTTGCCCCAGTCTGTAGGGCCTTGAAGAAATTTACCTCGAGAGAAATTCCTGAGATCTGTACCATCAATGATAATATGCCCAAGTATTATGAACTTTGTAACACTTCCCCTGACTAACCAAAGTTGGAGATGGTTTCAACCATACTTGGGTATCTCCCCCTGATTACTCGACATTTTGAGAGATTCTTACTCAACAAAGTATTTAAACGCTTTCTGCCCCTTAGGGTAATCAAACTCTGAGATACTTTCACCTCTGCTTAACAGAGTACTAAAATTGAAATATATTTCCCATGCTCAACAAAGTCTTGACAATCTATTTCTTTTCCTCATGCTCACAGAGGAATGAAAGGTTTACAGAGTTTTGAAGACAACACCTACCCATGGTGATTGACTGACTTCTTGAAAGTAGGCTACTTCACAACTGTTCTTCTTAATAGGATCAAAATTGAAATCAGACTATTGCACCACAGTGCCTCTCAACCCGATCTACTTCATGCTTAAGTAGATACTTGAAGAAAATTCTCCCTTAGGACCAACTGAAAGTAATACACCATTGCTCAACGGAGACCTCTGAGCAATCAAACTTTTGCAATTTCATCAAGATTTCCAAACAATTTGCTTCTGATCATTTCTTAAACTCGTATTCTTTTACTCAACAGAGTCATTACAAGGTCTTCCCCAGATTAAGATCCCCCCTCAAAATGATTTGCTCTTCAACATATTCCTAAAGCAATTTTTCCCTCGGGATGATCAAACTCTTCATCTGATGCTCATTATGCAAGATTCCTTGTTGTCAAGCACTCGTTTACATGCAAAGAATGTTTATTATGAGAATGACAATTCTAATGCAAATCTCATGTTTGTCTTGAAGTTGAAAAACTTTCATTGCAATGATGTCGTAACATCAATTTTTTATATGAAAGAAAGTAAAAATATGGAGTGATACCAACTCAAAAGTTTTAGCAAGCCTCTTAGGAGTCATATTACCGTACTCTCGTTACAGTATGATTTATAATTAACCCATGCTTCAGTTAGGACTTTTAAGGGTTGTAACGTGACCTAGTCATGGTTTTGAAAAAAGATTTAAGGCTCAAAATGATTTGTTTCTCAAATACATAATCCTCAAAGATGAGACCATCCATTCACGCCTCCTTAAGATCGTCCCTGAGATACTTAAAGAGTGAGGTGTGATCTTACAACTACTTTCTTAAGCGAATCGTCTTTGTTTTCAACCTCCATGAGCTTTGCGCAATGAATTTTACAACTAATTTCCATAGAATTTTTCTCTCCTAGAAGAGAATCACGCTTCCCCTTCATAGTTTTCAAATTTGCCTCAAGGGAGGATATTCTCTCCTTGGTAGATGTCAACAAAGTTTGATTAACCTCTTGAGCTTATTTCATATTTTCAACTCTCTCTTCAACTCATTCTCATTTTGGTTGGAATAGTTTGAATCTTCAAAAAGAGCAAGCCCCAGGACAACGCTCCTCATGAGATAAGTGCCTAGAAGTTAAAGCATTTTACGAGAACTTGTTGTCTTCGCCTTCTCAATGTCTTTAGTGGCATTAAGATGGTCATAAATTAAGCTTACACCATCGAAGCTCCGGTCCAAAAACTTAAACCCTTCCTCACTTTGAGCAGTGGGGCTACCTTTATAAGGCCTACCCTATTTTCCACCCATCAAACTGTTCGCCTCAAGGTAATCGAGGGGAGCATGCCGACATACATATGAGACTTCCTTGCATCCGCCTTAGCCCTCTTTGTTGAGGGAATATTTCGACCCCTCGAGAGCCGAGACGAACATAATGGTACTCAAAGAGATCACTTTGATAGTCGTGTCCTCCGTAACATTCTTTCTCTTTTTTGGTGCCCGAGTTTGATAATCAGTGGCATCATTTTGGTGCAATAACTGAGTCTCTCCACAAGGGTTTTGGCATTCACAATCATGGCTTTCCTTTCAACCATAAAAAAGTGTTTCATCCTCGGTGCAAAAGAAAAAGGAAAGTCGGCTAGAAGCAAATAAGTAAGGATAATAGTAAACAAACAAGGAAAAATAAATAACCCAAAAACTCCAACAATTTGGATTGGTCGCCCTCGTATATAAACAAATCTCTTACTAACGTGATACAAAACTATTCTAGAAAATCAACTTCCTTTTTCTCTATGTCATTTTTTTTGGATCATAATCCATAGTCGCAGTAAGCTCACTAGTCCAACAGAGAGGAAAGCAGTGAAACCCATCATCCACATAGATAACTCCAGGACAATAGAGGAATATGAAAAAAGCAGAGCACGACCACGGATGGCGCTCACAAAGCGAGTATTGAACAACTAATCTAAATACATCAATTGTTCAATATTATTTTTACTTACAGTAGTGATAAGAGCAAATATTTTATAGAATATCGATATGTCAAAATAATTTCATCATAACTATTAATGTTATCTCAAAAAGTAAAAAAAAAAGAAAAAAGAGTGGATGAAATAGATGAATTACTATGTATTAATTGAGTTAAATGAATCTCAATAATTAACTTAGAATTCAATTCCTGTCAACATTATTTATTTATATTTTTTATTAACGTAAACAAGTTGTTTGATATTTATATTTATAAAACAACAACTTAAAAAAAACAAGTCAAAGATTATTTCATAAAAAAAGTGTGAATTTATTAAAAATATCTTAGTTATAAATATTAAATTTATCACACCATATGTTTTCAATAATATTTATAATTTAATTCAAAATCTTTAATATATTTTGAAATATTAAATTCATCCTCAATAAATATTTTGATATTAATAATTATCTACTATATACCATGAATGATAAATGTAATTTATCCACCATTTTTTTAAATATATATTGCATCTTAAATATAATTTTTTTTTTGACAAAGAGAAAGGCCAAAGTCCAAAATAAAAAAGACTACACAAAAATAGACTTTTCAAACAAGTCTTTATCAAGTAAGCTATACATGTAAAACGGACACAAAACAATATTTTTTCTTAATTATTCAATATTTTTTCTAAATAATTTAGTAATTAAAACTTCATTATTTATAAATATATATAAATAAGATAGTGTAGATTCAAATCTATATTTTACGGTTTAATATTTACATATAATTATTAACTGAACTGATTTAACTGGATTAATTTTATGTTTTTATAAAACAAAATTTTCTGAACGTGTTGTAGGACCCTAGACGGGGTGATGACTTAAAATCAGAAACAACCAAAGCCAAACTCATTTGTCATGTTCCTTATGAAGACCATCTTCCAATCACAACCCCCAACAAAACAAATCCAACGGCTCCAATCAATGGATACAAAAACAAGATGATAAGAAATGTCCCCACACCCAAGTGGACCCCAACAACATTGACCCAACAAATGGACGGCAGCTTAGTGGGTTTGACCAACTATGGTTGTGTTCTGCTGTGGTCTGCTCACCTCAACATTACACAATACTTGAGTTAACCTCCCTTCCTTCTACCTTCCACTTCACTTCTTTGCTATATAACCCTTTCACTTCATCTCCTATGTTTTCTTTCTCATCCCAATTTTTCATTTTTCTTTCTTTTTTCTTTTTTAATGGAGTCTTCAGATTTTTAGACCATCCTTTCACTTTTCATCTTGTCACTGTAAGTTCTTTCTTTTTCTTTTCTTTTTTTTTAATTTTTTTTATTAATATTTTGTGGATATTTGTTGCTGCTTTAAGTTCTAGGTTTTTTTTTTCCTATACAAAGCATGCATCTTGTAATTTTTATTGAATTTTTTTAAGGGGATTTCAATAAATTGACTATTTTTTATTTGGTCAAAATCTGAATTTTTGTTTAGTTGCTGGCATGTTTGAATTTAGGGTTGATTTGGTGATTGATTGAGTATTTTAATATGTAGTTTCATTTGAAAATTTAGGGTTATGAGGGTTTTTGAGTTTTATTTTTATGATTTTGTTGGAAGATTTAAGTATTTGTTGAAAGGGGAAAAGTTTGAATTTGGATCTAGAGAGATCTGTGAAATGAAGAATAGTTTGTTCTTGAGAGTTTAGACTAGTTTATATAAGCCTTACTGGATGATGTAGCCGTCGAAAGTTGATTGATTTGTTATCAATTGTTAGTTTTATGTTGTGTGATATTTGTATTCAGAATCGGATGGACACCTCTGTTGAATGATAATTTCTTTTAGTTAGGGGTTCATATTCATATGTAAATTATCCTTCTTCATCATATTGATTTCGGTCCTTTTACTGGTTGGATCGTTAAGATATTTGATGTATGTTGAATGTTATTTACACAGGTACCCTTTGATTGACCGGATATTGATACCTCCTGAACAAGTTTGAAATGAATCCGACAGGAAGCTTGTGTGTTAACAACTGGGCAAGGTCCTCTTTGTTAGTCCCTCCTGGGAATGGGTTGCAGACAAATCTGTGCTCGGATCCTTCATCTTTCTACGGGATTGGAATTGAAACGCCTTTCAAAGAAATCATTGAACCTTCTCGAACTCAGTCTGTGATTCCAGGTGAATCTAACAAAGATATTAAGATCACTGATCAGGAAACCAGTAAACTTCAAGATTGGGATCCAAGTGCGATGTTGAATAACCTTTCGTTCCTGGAAGAAAAAATTCATCAGCTCCAGGAGGTAGTGCATTTGATTGCTAATAAGAAGTGCCAACCTTTTGAACAACCTCGTGAACTTGTGACTCAAGAACAGCAACTCGTTACAGCTGATTTAACATCGATTATTGTTCAGTTGATATCTACTGCAGGTAGTCTTCTCCCTTCCGTTAGGAACACTCTGACGGATGCAAGTCCGTTGGTAGGACAGCTTAGTCAGCTTCACGGAATTAACCTTCCTTTTGGAACAGGCACGGGTAATGGTGTTCAGCCACAAAATAATGTCGGAAATAAATTGTTTGATCAGTCCGTTCATAAAGATGTACCGAATAATTGCGAAATGGAGCAAAACCATAATATGGAAGAACATGAACATAAAGATGAAGAAGATATGGAAGAGGGAGAGAATCTTCCACCTGGTTCGTATGAGATTTTACAACTAGAGAAAGAAGAAATCCTTGCACCCCACACACATTTCTGTACAATATGTGGCAAGGGGTTCAAGAGGGATGCGAATCTTCGGATGCACATGCGAGGCCATGGTGATGAGTACAAAACTCCGGCAGCCCTTGCAAAACCACATAAAGAAACTGGGTCTGAACTGAAGCTTATCAAGAGGTATTCGTGCCCTTATGGTGGCTGCAAGCGTAACAAGGATCACAAGAAATTTCAGCCTCTGAAAACTATTTTATGTGTGAAAAACCACTACAAAAGAACACACTGCGATAAGAGTTACACTTGCAGCAGATGCCACACCAAGAAGTTTTCAGTTATTGCAGATCTCAAAACTCATGAAAAACACTGTGGCAAAGATAAATGGCTCTGCTCATGTGGCACAACATTTTCAAGAAAAGACAAGCTTTTCGGACACATCGCTCTTTTCCAAGGCCATACACCGGCTATTCCTTTGGAAGACAATAAAGGACTTGCCGAGCCACCTGATCGATGTGTCACCAAAGAAAATACCGCCATGGTAGGGAGCATGAACTTCTGTTTTGGATCAAACCCTTCAAGTGAAAACGGAGTTGATAACATCATGGACGTGAAAGGTAATATTGATGATCCTATCAATTACTTCTCATCTTTGAATTTTGAAGGCTGTAACTTTGGTGCGTTTAATGAATTCTCTCAACCTCCATTTGAAGATTCAGAAGGCTCTTTCTCGTTTCTCATGCCGAGTTCGTTTAATTATGCTCCTAAATCTGGCGGTGAATCATGTCCTGACAATCTGTAACAGTTTATGATGGTGTTAATCTGCATATCTATGTTTTCCTCAGTACATTGTTAATGAATAAGCTTTTTGTTTCTGTTAGTTTTGTAAATCCAGTCAGGTATTTCATGTACTCGCCATTTCGTAATATAGAAATATTAATTCTCATGAAGCTCTCATTCTTTATTCAAATATTTAAACCATTGAGTGAAGATTTTAAATTCAGAATATCTTGTAAAAACATTATGTGTTTTATATGTATATAAGTTGACAATTGAAAACTAATTGCAGATATGAATGGAATATGCTACACTTTTTTCTTTAGCTCAATCATTCAGTTTTGTTCTTTCATGTATGACACGATGAAGCCTTTTTAAATGGCATGGCCACTAACTCATAAAAAGGCTTATAAAAGCAATCAAAATGAATCATTTCCTTCCATGATCATTGTTTCTCCATGATAAATAAATAAAAGGTGAGAGGAAAAGAATGAGTGGAGAATTATTTGAATTTTTTTTTTTTTTAGAAATTATTTTGAGTGGTCAAATGATTATTATTAAATTCTCTTTTGAAGAATTATTTGAATTTCTTCTTATTTTGAGAAATTATAATGACCGATATTCAATAGTGATATTTATACCATATTTGGCTGATATTTGTACTGTCAGATAGTGTATTTCTAAATCGATTATCTACTGTGCATGTAGTAATTGTATATTATAGAACTGAAATATTTTATCCTGGAGACGTCGGGCTTGAATGACTATTTTGCATAACTTAAGTAGTGATATACAACGTTTTAAAGTGAGTGACCTAGTTTGCGACTTGACTCAGTAATTTCTTCAATGACAATTTTTTTAAAATCGTAAAATAATATTTTAATACGTTTTTCAAAATGCCATGACTAACAAAGAACTTAATGATAATTATGTAGTTGATGTCTTTGACAAACCGTTCAAGTTGAAGAAAGTCACTTCAAACGTTGGCAACAAAAATTATAATTTTTCTTATTGACCGATGACTTTCGTATTGTTACTTCTGTATTAAACGAGCAAACTAACACTAATACAAAGAAAAAAACAAATATAAAAAAATTTATAATATTTTAAAAAACAATTTTGTAAAATCTCTCTTAAAAAATACAAGAAAATATCTATTTTTTTAAAAACTAAAACAAACAAGTCTAATAAACGTAAATCAAATTTACTATTTTCACGTAATTCATAATTTTTACCAAACAAATCAATAAATTTTGATAAAAAATTGAAGTAATTTTTATTATAACCACTCTTGTATATGTTATTAACCATTTAAAGATGATCGAAATACAAAATAAATATGTTTTAAATGTAGCATAGAAAAAATCATGTTTTATATCTAAAAAAAATGAATATCTTACAACCTACATTATCTTTCTCCGTCTTTTCCATTTCACGTGTATCCTTTCGCTTTCTCCGTTGTTTTAATTTCACCTTCATCCATTCACATTCTCTATCAATTCCACTCTTGTTCCCTATCAAATTTTATATTTAAAAGATGATTATAGCTGATGTTTTGCTTTTTCACTCTTATTTCACCTATTTCATTATTGTTCTCGAGTTGAGATTTTTTTTCATTTTTCAAAAGAAATAGAGTTCTATTATTAAAATTTTAATGATATAAAAGTCAAATTATATAAATACATGTCACATTTTTTTCTAAATTATACAAATAATAGAGCTTTTAAGAGAGCTCTCCATCTCAACTCATGGTTTTCTAAATTTCAATAACAATATTCTCCATTTTAATTTCATCTTTTTCCATTCACTTTCTCGATCAAATTTTATATCTAAATTAATATCTATTGCTTCCTCCAATTTATTTCTCGTGTTATTTCAATTCCACCTTTTTACATTCAATTCCTTAGTCAATTTTACTCTTGTTTTCAATTAAGTTTTATATTTAAAAAATCGAATATATTATTGTTTCTTCCATTCTCTTTCATCATTTTTATTCCATTTTTTTCATCCATTTCTTCCCTTGATTCAATTGCACCTTCATCCATTGATTCTACTCTTGTTTTATATCGCTATTCAATTCAGTCTCTTGTGTCATTTCAATTCCACCTTTTTTTCATTTACTTATTGCTTCCCCAATCTCTTTCTCATGTCATTTCAATTCCACATTTTTCCATTCACTTCTTCGGTCAATTTCACTCTTGTTCTCAATCAAATTTTATATCTAAAAAATTGAATTATTATTGCTTCTTCCATTCTCTTCCATCATTTCTTTTCCATTTTTTCCATCTACTTCCGCTGTTGTTTCAATTGCACCTTTATCCGTCGATGCTGCTCTTGTTCTATATCGCTATTCACTCATATTTCACTTATTCCATTCAATTCCTTGGTAAATTATTAAGTAATAATATTTTTTAATATTATTTTACATTTATAATGTATTAAATACTCTAATTAAATTTTCCAATCTCTTTCTCGTGTCATTTCAATTCCACCTTTTTCCATTCACTTATTACTTCCTCCGGTCTCTTTCTCGTATCATTTCAATTCCACCTTTTTCCATTCAATTCCTTGGTCAATTTCACTCTTGTTCTCAATCAAGTTTTATATTTAAAAAATTGAATATATTATTGTTTCTTCCATTCTCTTCCATAATTTCTATTCCATTTTTTCCATCCATTTTCTTCGTTGTTTCAATTGCATATCCATCCATCCATTATGCTCTTGTTTTATATCGTTATTCAGTCCGGTCTCTTTCTTGTGTCATTTCAATTCCACATTTTTCCATTCACATATTGCTTTCTCAATCTCTTTCTCATGTCCTTTCAATTCCACCTTTTTCCATTCACTTCCTCGATTAATTTCACTCTTGTTCTCAATCAAGTTTTATATCTAAATTGAATATATTATTTCTTCTTCCATTCTCTTCCATCATTTCTATTCCATTTCCTATGTTGTTTCAATTGCACCTTCATCCATCGATGAAGCTCTTATTCTATATCACTATTTGATCTTACAGAATCAGAAATGGACCGTCACAGCTAGCTCGGGTAGAAGTTGAGTGGGACGGGAGAGGTACCTACAAGACACTCTGATAGCAAAATAAGTTGCGGAATAAGCAAGCAAGTGTTAAGAGTTAGAAGTGTTGAATTGAATACCTGACCCTCTTAGGAGAGAGCGTATTTATAACCCCCAGCGCTGAACAAGGTTTCCATTATTGGGCCACGTTGAGACCCAATAACAGAAACTGCCAGGGCTTACGTGTGTATGGAGTCCAGCAAGTGGACTTCCCCCTGGTCAACTGCTTCGCGAGAATAGGATTGATCCCGTGATTCCCGGAGGACAGTTTAAGATGACTGTCGTGGGGTCGTGGGCCACGTCCTCCAACGGTCGTGTGGGGAGTTGCCCAACGGTCCCTAACTTGGGCTGTTTTTGGACTTCCCGTTCGAAGGGCAAGTGTAGGCCCAATCCAGATCAGGAGCCCCCAAGTTATTGCCCTTGAGCAAAAAGGCGGTGACTTGAATTCAGCTCTTGATGCCGGAGACTTGATCGAGGAAGACGGCCAAAGTCCCCTGAAAAGAACGAGTTGTTGCCCGCGTGAGAGACTATTCACTCCTAATTCACTTATTAATTTACTAATAATAAATAAAAGATAACTGAAGTGCTAAATTATTAATTAAGAATGTTTTTTTTATATCATTTTACATTTATAATTTATTAAATACTCCAATTAAATTATCCATCATAATTATAAATTATAAACTATTAGCTTTAAATTATAAATTAGATATCAGTTAACTTATCAACTATAACTATTTTTTTAACCAATAGAACATTAAAAAATTCGAGTTGGAATATCATTTATATTAAAAAAATTGAAGATTGCTTTGCTTGAAAGCCAAACTGATTCATTATTGGGCCAGATTACCTCTACTATTGGGAGCATTTCCTATTACTTAGAGGACAAATGAGTAATTAAAATAGATTATTACAATGAGAGAAAGATAGCGAAAGTAACAAAAATACCAAAACTCATTTGGGTTGTTTGTGCTACTGATTGTGTTTTTCTTCAAATTATTAAAAGTAACAAAATATATTGGATTAAACAAGTTTCTTAAAAAGAAACTAATACAAGTGTAGGCAGCATCATTTTCATTGAACATAAAAAACAAAATATCCGTTGAGAATGGAGCTAGTAGTTACTCAAATGAAAATTAAGACTAGTAGTTTAATTGCTAGAAAACAAACTTTTAAGTGACAAGCACCTTCAAACCAGCCTTTGATGGGAAACGGCAATATTTCTCCCTTAAAACCACATCATCTTGGCAAGACCAAGTCAGTCCCCTAGGAGCGCTGTTAGCCCACATAAACCTCTCAGAAAAAGGGTTCACTAAACTCCGACGAAATTGCTCCACTGTCTCACATAGCAGTCCCTGCAGCAGTTTTTTTTAAACAAGTTAAATAGAAAGAAAGGAAGTTGTCAAAAGATGAAATACCAACTTTGATACTTTGTAGCCTAAAAAACAGCCTTGGCTGGATTGTTTAAGCAACCAGGAGTATTTTATTTTGGCTGCTAGATTAATCCAAATGCCGAAGGTTTGCCATTGTAATGAAAAAGTAATACCTTCGCCATGGATTTGATTTTCAAGGTGATATCATCACTAAGAAGGACAAGTTGTCCAGCATTATCTTTGCTTCTATATTGAAGAGCACAGTCAAGGATCTGATCTTCAATAATAGGAAAAGCACAGTCAAGGATATGAATCCACCACTTTGTCTTTCCTAAGCATTCTTCAATCCATTCCAAGGCCTTAGTAGCCTCTGGAATCCTTCTAAAAACTCCAATCTGTTGCTTCATGCTGCCCAATTCTCTTATGACTGATAAAACAACGTGTCATTGAGAACTTCCAAAAGCATCAACATTTCAAACAAAATACATTAAACAAGACAAATAGTAGTTATTAATACCTGATTGTGGAATGATTAACCGAGTCCCCTTGAGACCTTGTAGAAGCTGCAAAGCCTTTCTTGACTCCTTGTTCAGAAGAGAAGCAGTGTCTACAACCATATCCCAGCTTCTCTTTCGCTCTTCACTCACAGTCTGCAAAGGAAACAGAATGTAAGCATAGATAAAAATAAACTATTGACATTCACAACCAGAATGATATATTAGGTCTTACAGAAGATTCACTGTGCTTGTCTGAAATGTGTCTCGAATTACTGGTTCTAGAACTACTGGTTCTAGCAGTGACGCCAAGAATGGATTTTGCAGCAGAAAATGGACTATTAAAAGGACTTGAGTTTGCCAAACTACGATTGCCTCCAGATCTCCCTAGTGACTGTAAGGGTATCTCTTTTGCAACAGAAAAAGGACTATAAAAAGGACTTGAGTTTTCTGAATTGTGATTGCTTCCAGAACTCATTAGTGACTGTAAGGGTGTGCGCTCCACTCTCTTTTTTCTTAACCCTGCAGTATCATGACACTCCAGAGGCTTTCTCTCTGACTGCCGTTGTTGGGCTCCCCTTGGAGTCAGGTTCTCTTTTGCAGAAAAAGGACTATAAACAGGACTTGAGTTTGCCGAATTGTGATTGTCTGCAGAATTCATTAGTAACCGTAAGGGTGTCCGCTCCGCTCTCTTTTTTCTTAACCCCGCAGTATCATGACACTCAAGAGGCCTTCTCTCTGACTGCCATTGTTGAGCTTCTCTTGGAGTCAGGTTCTCTTTGTTTGAAAAGGCACTTGTACTTCTTTCCGCGGAATAGAAGTTGGGACTAAAACTAGCCTTCAACAAATTCTTTGACATCTGTGACTCGGAATTTTTACTATCTTCTAGGTTTTCCTTAGTTGGAGTGCACATTTCTTCTTCATCCGAGACAGAGAAAAGATCCTTTCGCATTGGTTTATTTAGGACACTGATATCCCTCAAATTACTCATTACAAATTTAGTATCAACATTAGGTGTGTTCAATAATCTGCTCTTCCTGGTTTGATTCTGAGGCGCACTCACAGCCTTATCACAAGCAAATGTTGAGCTTCTCTGTGCTGAGTCTTCTACACAGCTTTCATAGTCTAAATCAAAGCATCCAGCCACAGCAACCAGAGATTGTGGGGTTCTATTCTCCTTGTCTGTAATATCTAAATCAGCCCCCTGAGCTACTGAAGGATTAAGTGACTCTGTTTGAAAGGATTTCACAGTATCTTCAACTGTTTCATCAAGTGAGTTACCTTCTTCATCACAAGGAGAACTTCTCTGTGCTGAGTCTACTACACAGCTTTCATAGTCCAAATCAAAGCATCCAGCCACAGCAACGAGAGATTGCGGGGTTCTATTCTCCTTGTCTGTAATATCTAAATCAGCCTCCTGAGCTACTGAAGGATTCAGTAACTCTGTTTGAAAGGATTTCACAGTATCTTCAACTGTTTGCTCCAGTGAGTTACCTTCATCACAAGGTTTAAAATTCTGGTATGCCTGCAACTCTGTGTCACAATTATTTTCTTTTTCTCCATCAGACAGTGAATCAACATTAACTTCTTCAACAATCTTGTTTTGTTGAAAATTGGTTACAGGATTTGCTTCCTCAAGTAGTGAAGACTTGTTTGCAGAAATGAAAAGACTTGATACACTAGTTAAAATATTGTCAATTCTGGCATTTTCTTCAAAGAAGAATTCTAATTTCTGCTCTCTGGGTTTTACATTCACAGCAACAACACCATTTTTATCAGATGATGAAAGGTCCACATTTTTAACTATTTCATCAAAAGATTCCCCATCAGAGAGTGATTCCACAGAAACTTCCTCATCAGTATTGGTTTGATGAGATTCAGAATCAGGCATGTCCTCAGAATTGAAGAAGTTTGCTCCTGTAGTTAAAATATCTCCAATCTTGTCACTATCTTTGAATGCACCCTCAAAATCAGATTCTTTAGGTATCACATCCACTGCAGCACCACATTTTTCATTAAGTGATGCTTCAGGATCAATCCACTTCTTTTCTGCAGAAGATTGTTGGTGCAATTTGTTTGCTTCCACAACTGGGTTACATAAGGTGTGTTTAAAACATTCCTTCAATGTGCAAAGCAAACTAGTCTCTCCCGTCACCTCTACTTCGGGACAAGCTTTAATTACTTGTCTGCTATCTGCTTCATCCACTGATTGTACATAAGGTGGAGATAGAAAACAGATTTGAGATTCACCCGGTTCATCCTTACCATCACAACATGATGTCTCAGTTCTAACGGAGTCATTCTCATCGTCAAATGTTTCTGACGGGCTCTTAATTTCATCATCATCACAAGATAAAGAACCAATGTTCTGCAAGTCAAAGCCAAAAGATAAAAATGAAAAACCAATCAAATATAACATTAAATATTAAATAACCAAACCATTCACCTACTAAAACTATATTTCAAATAATAAAAAATTCATCATCCTAAAGGTTTTAAAAACAGTCTGCGGCGGCGGCGAAAATGACCGCGACAAAATGATACTGATACGGTTATTCACCATTTTTAAGTTATAAAACAAATTGTGGTTAATTCACACCGTGACGACCACATTAGTGTCGCGACGACCTGTACATACCAAAATCGCAAAAGCCTTTATGCCACCGAGATCGTTTTTTAAAACCGGTATGGACCAAAATCACACCATGACTACCAATCAGTGTCGCAACGGCCTGTATGAACCAAAATCACGAAAGCCTTTAGGCAACGACCTATACGAACCAAAATCACGAAAGCCTTTACGCGACGACTTGTACGAACCAAAATCACGAAAGCCTTTACGCCACCGAGATCGTTTTTTAAAACCGGTACGGACCAAAATCACCCATGACTACCGCAACGTAAGAACCAAAATCACGAAAGCCCGACGACCTGTAGGAACCAAAATCACGAAAGCCTTTACGCTACCAAGACCGTTTTTTAAAACCTCCTAACTACAAGTGTAACTCACAAAATTCCAATTTAACTGAAAAGTGATAAAAAAAAGAGAGTAAAAAAATGAACAATAAAAAGAAACACAGATGGAAAGCTCGTCATCCTCTTATCTTAGCAACTAACAAAATTCAAATTATACACAGAATTGAACAGAAAAGAAAAAAAGAAAAACAACATACAACTGAAATAAGAATGACACCTTTATCGCATTTGCGTCGAATTGGGAGACAAAGCGAAGAAGGTAAACCCTACTGGAAGCCCCAAGTCGAAAGCTATCACCTCCCTTCAATTCAACGCTGACGCCACTCTCGAGCTTCCTACCGCTCACCCACGTTCCGTGCACTGTCACCACAGACAACAAAAATACCATTAAGAATTCAAGAAACAATATAATAATAAAAAAAAGGGGGAAAGGGTTTGGTTAGAGATACCAGAAGATATATCGAGAAGCGAAATGGATTTTGAAGAGGGAGTGAAGCGAATCTGAAGATGGAAACGGCTGATGCTAGGGTGAGTGAGAACAATGTTGCAGGTTGGGTGACGACCGATGAGAATGATGTGATCGTCTTCGTTGTCGTCGTTGAGAATGATGCAGATGTTCTTGATGATCGATTTGTTCTTGAAAACTGTTAACACTGGAATTATGGAGTTTTCTTGTTGGTTAGGGTTTTGATCTGAATATGGAATTGAAGCCATTGGGGGAGGAACGAGAAAGAAGATGAAGAAGAAGAAGCAGCTTAAAGAAATAAGCTCGTTTTGATGAGAGAATTTGTATTTGTATATTGGTGTTTGGAAAATGCAACGTTTGTGGTAAGTGGTAACGGCTATTTCTTTAATTAGCGTTTTTCAATTTATTTAGATTTTCGTTTAATTACCTACTACTTGTTAAGAAGTATTTGAATGTAGTATTAAACAAAAAAAAAAAAAGCTTTGAATTGCAAAACAAATATTATTGTGAATTGTTTTCTTTTAGTTATGATTAACGGTCGTTTGATATTTTCAAAAGTAAATAGTTTTTAAAATAGAGTTTTAAATATGTTTTTTTTGTCCTTCTAAATGGTCCTCTTAAAAATTTAAAATTTAATTTTTAGTCTCTCTTATAATTTAACGATAGTTTTTGTATTTTAGCGACGTAATTAAAAATTATTTTTAACTACGATTTTGTTACGAGAGACCAAAAATTAAATTTTAAATTTTTAAGAAGATATTTTTTTGAACGAAAATTTTAAAGGGATTAAAAACGAAGTTTGAGATATTTCGAAGGACCACAAATATATTTAACATTTTTTAATGAAGATCGATAACATTAAAAGAAGATTGTTACAAAAAAATAGAGGGGACATCCGCCAAAACCCTATCACGAGGAAGTAAATCTAAAGAACGACAAACCTAACCGATTCTAAACAAAATCTGCCCTAAAACAAACAGAGACTGAATTAATATAAGATGAATCTGTAAAAGTAAGACATATGTTAGCAAGTGCATTTGCACAACTGTTACCCTCTATGAAAATATAAGAGACCACAAAATTTCAATTAGTGATTATATTTATACGGTTCACCCGTCTATTTCTAATATGTCAAGACAAAAAAAAAAGGATTTAACAACCTTAACCACCGCTACCGAGTCAGATTTCAACCACAAATACAAGTTTAATTTAGACTATGCTATTTTTAAAATTTGTGATTTTCTTAATAAGCATAATGTGATTTTTTTTGGAAAACTCTATCAAGTTAAACATGTAGTAATGTGTTCAGATAAAAAACTCTATCAAGTTAAACATGTAGTAATGTGTTCAGATATATAAGAAAATATATAATAACGAGACTGAAATATATATATATATATATATATATATATATATATATATATATATATATATATATATATATATATATATATATATATATATATATATATATATATATATATATATATATATATATATATAGATTCTGGAGGCTGGGTCAAGGCAGGCCTCAAGACTCAAAGAGCACTTACATAAGTACTTACAGATCACCCATCCAAAAATATCCTCACATCACCAGCGAGAGTTAAACCTATGATCTCTCGCTGTGTGAGACAACTCCTTGTCAATTGAACCAACCTTTCTTGACTTGATAATATTTTGAGATAAAAAAGAAGTTGAATTTTCGATACTAAAATTAATAATTTAAAAACACATTTACAAAAAAACAATACTAAAAAATTACGAGTATATTAACTGTCAATCTAATTTTGTTTTTATGTTATGACTTTGATTTTATATATATATATATATATATATATATATATATATATATATATATATATATATATATATATATATATATACTCCCTCCGGTCTCATTTATAAGAAAAAATTAACTTTTTAGATACATTAAATAAGTAATGTATTTAGACAATATATTGTCCAAATACATTACTTATTCAATGTATATAAAAAATTAATTTTTTCTTATAAATGAGACCGGAGGGAGTATATATATATATATATATATATATATATATATATATATATATATATATATATATATATATATATATATATATATATATATATATATATATATATATATATATATATATATATATATATATATGTGTGTGTGTGTTTTTTTTTTTTTTCATGGTGTTCATATTGAATATTAAGTTTATTATTTAACAATTGAGACACACTTGTGGTTTTATTGAATAACTCATCACCATAAGATGTTGTAACATTGGAAATAGTAAAAGATAGTATATTCAATGAAGAATTAAGAAGGAAGGAATGAGAAATTTCGTTAGAGTCTAAGGTGTTTGTCACATAGTATCGTGGAAAAAGCTTCTTCAAGAAATTTAATACTAGAGACTATAACACCCCATTTCTATCCAACGAATTACATAAAATTAGAGTTACAAAATTTCTAACAAACAAATGGAATGCTACACTTTTAACTTGGAAACAACGACATTCAATCACTTATAGTTCATATACATAACACACAAAATTCGGATGAACCGTAACGACCTGTTTAGTCTTTAACTATAAAACAACTTTCATTGCTACGCAGCAGATTCACAAATTCAACTGAAAATATCATAACATCTTATCCAACTCAAAACGGCTTTAAGACAACAAGTGTTTAATGAAAACAACTTAAAAATTCAGCAACATAATGAAAACCAACAATAAAGAAAACATGCGTTCGTCCCCCGAGTACTACGTATCAGAGCGACGACACCGACTCGAACTAACGAAGGTAACATCTATCCTTCTTGATTACCTGCATATTACCAACAGATGGCAACATTCAAACAGAAGGGGTGAGATATTGAACCATGTAATTGAGTGTATGATAAACAATTTATTAGATCAGATTATATAAAATCATCAATTCACAACTTTCAACCAACATTAATCATCACAAGTCAATAACACAATATGTTATATATGCAACACGAAATACGACTCGTTGCAATGTACATGTATGTGGTATCAATGGAGCAAAACTCCCAACTTAGAAATCTGTCAATTAATAGAGGCATCAACAAGGCATAAGCCTTCAACTTAATTTTCCAATCCAGACCAACTTATCGAGCATCATCTCCAACTTGATATGTTATGTATGCGATCCAATATGAATGTCAGAATAACAACAACAAAATTCTATGGCAGTGCAATAACAAACCAACATTGGTCATAAGCGCACAAGTTAATATTTTGACCATAAATGGAGGCAATTCAACAAGATACAACATCATCTGCAAATTTGCATTTTTCAACAAGAAACACGATACCACGAATCAACCAAAATTTACTACAACTAAACCGCGTAACTATTCGGGCTATTTCGACTATTTCCGGTTAATTAATCATCTAAATATTTATTTCTAATTACAAAACTCTTCAAATTATTTTATTAATAATATTAACTTATTATTATCATTATTATTATTATTATATACATATATATTAGTAATTTGTAATACTGAAACTGGTTTTTCAATTGATATATAATTTACGCTACATTATTTACCACCGGAATCTTATTCTCAATTTAACTCATATAAGTCATAGTACCATAATTTAATTGGCATAGGAACATGATATATTGTCTTAGTTTGAATTTGACGCTACATTTAACTATATGTGCCAATTTGTTTTTCAAAGATAACATTACAGTTTATACTTTCACAAAGTAATACTAAAAAGTGTAAGCCCTATTATTAATTAAATATGTGTTTACTAGTAAACTTGAAATGTCATCTCAATTTCACCTAATGCCACTCTACTACAGTATCCAAGTGTATATGCATTGTGTTCTTTCGCTATAATATCCAAACATATATACACTTATAATCTCCAACTTATCCTACTGACAACTCTAAACATGTCAGAATTACGCAAAACAAATAAAAGTGACTTTTAATGATATGAAATAACTCTATTGATAACTTTAACAACACTATTGACAACTCTAACAACCCTATTGGTAACTCAATGACAACTCTATTAACAATTCTAATAACTCTATTGACAACTCTAACGGAATTAAAAATTAACTTAATTTCTCATCATTAATTCCAAAACTCCTAAAAAAAATATTATTCTTAATAATACTAAATTATTATTATTAATAATTATTATAATTATTAAAATATATATTAGCAATTTGGAAACTTTAACAGTGTGTGTATATGTCAAATTCAACTACAGTACCTATTATTGTACCCCAAAATTTATCCTCACATTTTTCTCAAAGCATTCTTTCAAGGCTCTTCAAGTAGTCAAGACACTCAAGGGTTGACTAGTCAAGATGCACCTCCTAAACCAAAGGTCTACAACTAAGGTTTGGAGTTTCTAAAGTAAATATGGTTTTAAAAGGTCCCAAGTGGTTTCCATGGTTCTTCATAGGTCCTCAACAAGGTTCATGTCAAGTTTCAAGCCCTACATCACAAGTTTGCTCAGTCAATGGTTCAAATGTTTGAAAATCAACTATATTGGTCAAAAAGTCAACTATGGTAAACATACAGTCAAACTTCAATATTTTTGATCAACTTAAACATTTTCAAGTGATATTCATCATTTGATCAAGGGTTGATCACGATTCCCCAAGGAAAGTCCTCAGATAATCAAAAGTCAAGAATTGCCAAATTAGGATTTTCTTAGGAGAAGTCAACTAAACTTTGACCAGGCATAACTTTCACATTCTTCATCAACTTTTCCCCAACCAAAGACCATTTTGAAGGAAATTAAATTCTCTACAACTTTACTTTTATTATTAAGTCCAAAAAATGCTTCATTTGTAAGATGTGATCTCATACATTATAGGTCATTTTCAAAAGTCAACAAAAGACACTTTTTGTCAAGGAAACTTACATCAAGATAATGTCTTCAAAAGCAAAAATAATAAACACAGAGATTGTAGAGGACATCTTGGGATTTCAAAAAAAGTCAAATATCATCTTCAAAATATGAAAATTGAGCAAGTTATGAGTTGCACAATTTGGGGAATTTTGAAAAAATTCATGAAGCACAAATTAAGCAAAATTACATTTTTGAACCTATGAGCCTAGTTTTGGATGTTCAAACATGTCCATAACATCTTAGAGGAACTTTAAGTCCATTTTTGCATGAACTTGATTTTTATTTTTTTATTGATATTTATCTTGATTTTATTTAATTTAAAATCAAATAAATTAAATAAAAA